AGTACCATAAATATCTAACACCTGATTGTAATACTTGAGTTGAAGTAAACTATGAATCACCTTTGGCGCCAAGTGGTTTCTTGGATAGTTGAACCCCTAGCATTGTATGTTTTTTGTACCCTCACAACCCAGAAGGGCGACATCCAGGAGTTGACTCTGTGCGCATAACCTACTAGTTCACAATAATCCCTATATTACCCTTGATGGTAACATAGGGATTATCCTTTTTAAAATCTTCTTTTGGGGTTCTTAAGCAAATGGTCGTAACAACACATGGCTGTTCGACATTGAAGGTAGGAAGCCGAAAGCGGCGGATCGATGGGGGGGGGAAGCATGTACACATATATACATATATATATATGTATGATTTCTGTATATCTATATGTATGTATCTTTGTGGTTCTTTACTGTGACTTTAGATCCTTAGCCTTTTTGGGGTTTATTGGGTTTCTTAATCAGGCAGCTAAAGAATTTCTAGCTACCCTCCTAAGTGCAGCCGATATATATATATATATATTTATGTATAGGTATTCTACATCGAGGTTTAGGGATGTAGTTGCCACGGTCTCAGTGCGCACTGAGAAACCCTAAAACCCTAAACCTAAACCCTAAACCCTAAACCTTAAACCCTAAACCTTAAACCCTAAACCCTAAACCCTAAACCCTAAACCCTAAACCCTAAACCCTAAACCCTAAACCCTAAACCCTAAACCCTAAACCCTAAACCCTAAACCTTGTGCAGACCTGCAGAATTCCGGTCTTGCCGCGCTGGTGGCCATGCGAGAACACCGGAGGCGAGACATGGCTCAGGCGACTTCTCTGAGCTCGCCCGAATTTGGGGGGTTTCCGAATTGTGTTTAGGGGTTTTAGGGGTCCTTATTCTAAGGGAATCCTACTGTTTGGGGTCTATTTTGGGGGTTCCGTATTTTCGTAAACTCCCATTCAGTTGAGGCAGACTCCACAGGAGGTGATCTTAACTAGGCACGCTGAATATAATGTAGGGGTCGGAACAACTACGAATAGTATTCCCTCATGGTCCCTTTGTAATGATACTATAATGACCCCCCCCTCCCCCCCAAAAAAAACCTATTCAGGCCCCGATATTACTGAGGACCCACAGCAAGACTCGACTTGAGATTTCACCTACGCTGCGTGCAACAACAGCGAATACTCCCCAAGTGAACTTCCGGTCAGGAATCCTAAGCCTCTAGATTAAGCCTGGCGAACCCCGAAGATCCTACAAGCCTAAAAGCCCCAGAAACCCCAAACTACCAAAGACAGAACCCTCGACTCCCCAAAGCGCCAAACCCCCTGAACCCTCGACCCAAAACTCCTCCCCCCCCCAAAAAAAAAAGTCCTAGGAACCTAGTCGTAGCAGCAACCAAAGATCCGGCCCGGACTCGGAGACCTAAACCTTAGATCCTGAACCCTGCACCCTCATCCCTAAGCCCTATAAACCCTAAATCCGAAGCCCGACCCGAAACGCGTCATGCTTCAGGGTGCACTAGGCCGGCTGAGCACACTTTCACCTGTTTGTGTGCCACTATGATCGTCGTCGTCCTCGTCGTCGACGACGACTCGGTAGTGCCGTTTTCGTTGTCGTTGTCGCTCTTATCTAGGTAGGCCCTTGGGATATGTTTTATTTTCCCTTAGTAGGTTCAAGAGGATCATCTTCAGGAATCATGATTCAGAGGGTCCTAGGCATAAACCCTGCACCCCCTAAACCCTAAACCCCTCAAACCCTACATCCTAAACCCTAAACCCTAAACCCTAAGCCCTAAACCCTAAACCCTAAACCCTAAACCCTAAACCCTAAACCCTAAACCCTAAACCCTAAACCCTAAACCCTAAACCCCTAAACCATAAACCCTAAACCCTAAACCCTAAACCCTAAACCCTAAACCCTAAACCCTAAACCCTAAACCCTAACCCTAAACCCTAAACCCTAAACCCTAAACCCTAAACCCTAAACCCTAAACCCTAAACCGGCGTGCCGAGGCGGGTCCTTCAAGGGACCTGTCGGCCTTTGCAGGTGTCTTGGCTGAAGACAGTAGGGTACAGGTTTAGGGTTTAGGGTTTAGGGTTTAGGGGGTTTAGGGTTTAGGGTTTTGGGTTTAGGGTTTAGGGTTTAGGAGGTTTAGGGTTTAGGGTTCAGAGATTTGGGGTTTCGGGTTACAGGAAGCACTCTTTAACCCGACTGCAGGCTTCTTGGCTGAAGTGGCTGAGGACTTCTGAGACGCGCGGGATCATTTGCCGATCCCGTCTCGCTCGCAGTAATCTGGTCTTTTCTCTTGTGCAGTACATCCAGCTACTACCCCATTTGAACAGGCCCCGTGTCTCGGGAACTTGGCTATGTGCGTTGTGAATAGCCTAAACCCTAAACCCTAAATCTTAAACCCTAAATCTCAAACCCTAAACCCTAAACCCTAAACCCTAAACCCTAAACCCTAAACCCTAAAACCTAAAACCTAAACCCTAAACCCTAAACCCTAAACGAAGGGGTTTCCTTATCATGGCTCTTTGTTCCGATGAACACCCCACAGCGGTTGCGAAATGCAGGGGTTGCGGCTTCGAATGTTCTTCAAAGAGAGGGGTCTGAGTGCAAGTATAGAGGCTGTAGCTTGGTGGGCCACTTTGTTGGGGAGGTAGTTGAGGTCCACGGCCACTTCCGCTTCAAGCTTCTTAAGCTCCTAAACTCAAGCCTTGCACGAGGTTTGGAGTTTGTAGGGTTTCGGGTCTGCCTGGGGTTCTGCTGATCCTACTTCTTCGTACCTATGAACACCCTAAACCCTAAACCCTAAACCCCAAACCCTAAACGCTAAACCCTAAACCCGAAACCCGAAACCCTAAACCCTAATCCCTAAACCCTAAGCTGGGTTATCGGAGCTTCCGGAGGGTTGGTCCAGAAGGCTTTGGCCCCGCGTAAGCTCAACGAAGTATGGGTGCCCTAGGTTTTAGGGCTTAGGGCTTAGGGTTTGGGGTTTAGGGTTTGGGGTTTAGGGTGTAGGGTTTAGGGTTCAGGGTGAAGGGTTTGGGTTTAGCCTCTTAATGCCCGTCAATCCCAACGCCGTCGTGCAGGAGTGTGAAGGATTGTTGGTCAACATTCTCCTTTTTGCCATCCCTAACAACTTGAGACAGTGGCTGCCGTTCTAACTGAGTATTCGCATCCTCGCCTCGTCGTTATTTTTCTTGTTGAATATCTGGCCCGCGATGTTGAGCCATTGAGGGCACACGAAACCCACGATGTCAAGCCAGAGACACGAGCCTGAGAACATTTCAACTGGCGGCAGGTCGCAGCTTCGAAAAACATCGGGTAGTTTCGGAACCCTAAACCCTAAACCCTAAACCCTAAACCCTAAACCCTAAACCCTAAACCCTAAACCCTAAACCCTAAACCCTAAACCCTAAACCCTAAACCCTAAACCCTAAACTTTGCTGCAGAGGGGGGGGTTTTATTCGGGTATCCGGGCTCTAGGGGCGATATTGTAGGGTATAAGGGTAACAGATAAAGAGGCCACCGGCCTAAAGAAGGTTTAGGGTTTAGGGTTTAGGGTTTAGGGTTTAGGCTTTTTTGATGATGTGGGGTCTGGGGTTTAGGGCCGTGTTTCTACGGTCTTTTCTCTTAAATCCTAAACCTTGAACCCTAAGCCCGAGACCCGAGACCCGAGACCCTAAATCCTAATCCCTAAACCCTAAACCCTAAAAACCCTAAACCCTAAACCCTAAAGCCTAAACCCTAGACTTGGGAGCGTGTGTGAGCTGCAGCCTGCATGTCAGAAGGCTGCCTTTGCATGCCAGGTCTTCGGGTAAACCCTGAAGCCACGCTGAACCCAAAACCCTAAACCATGAGGAGACGGCAGACGGCGGGCCGGCTGCCGACAGTTCTGCGCCCGCACCCGGAAGTTCCATCAACCCGCCTTAAACCCTAAACCCTAAGCCCTAAGCCCTAAGCCCTAAGCCCTAAGCCCTAAACCCTAAACCCTAAACCCAAGGATGAGGAAAGTTCGGTCGAAAAGGGATTCGGATGTCCAGGATTTGGGGTTCGAAGCTTAGATAGAGGCTGAAACCGTCCAATTCAAAAACCCTGAACCCTAAACCCTAAACCCTAAACCCAAACCCTAATTAAACCCTAAACCCTAAACCCTAAACCCTTACCCCATTAACCTGAACGGTGTGGGGTCTTATCATGGCTTGTGGTGAGTGTCTATAGGTTCCTTACAAATCTGCTGTGTGCATATGTTGGGTGTCCTTTCTTGGGATACGAGTACTATGCCGGCGGAAAGCGCTCCAACGCGCGTTTCGGATTCTAGCTTAGGGTTTGGGTGGAGGGTTCAGGTTTGCGGTTTAGGGTTTGGGTGGGTGCAAACATCGCCGATGATAGCGGGATCAGTAGGTAAACCCTAAACCCTAAACCCTAAACCCTAAACCCTAAACCCTAAACCCTAAACCCTAAACCCTAAACCCTAAACCCTAAACCCTAAACCCTAAACCCTAAACCCGAAACCATAAACCCTAAACCCTAAACCCTAAACCCTAAACCCTAAACCCTAAACCCTAAACCCTAAACCCTAAACCCTAAACCCTAAACCCTAAACCCTAAACCCTAAACCCTAAACCCTAAACGCAAGCTGTTCAGCATCAGATCGGCGAGGTGCGCGCAGAACTCTCCCATCCCACGTCTTGTGGAAGTGCCAAAGGGATCAGACATCGAAGTGCGAAGTAGGCAGAACCCTAAACCCTAAACCCTAAACCCTAAACCCTAAACCCAAAAGTCTTAAGTCTTTTTGCCCTAAGCCCTGGACCATTCACTGGTGTCAACGCAAGCCAGCCAGGTCAGTACGTCCGCAGGAACTCGTATGCTCGAGGACCAAAAGGCTGCAGCGATGATGATGCCCCAGGCGGGGCAAGGATGCTACCGACATTGGTAGCGGAGCCCCGGCCAGGGCTCTGATAGATTTCCTTTGTCTGTTCCTAGGTTGGGACAGGTAGCAACGCAAGCCATGGAGGACCGTGGGTTCAAGCGTTTTTCGGGCGAAGATGAGGACGCCGGGAAGGCGCTGAAGAAGTGGAAAGCATGGGCCACTGCCAAGATGCTCACAGTGAAGGACCTGTCAAAGGCCCAACGTGGGCCGTGGTTGTTCACCCTGCTGGATGGCAAGGCCCTGGAGGCATGCGAGCACATGACGTTGGATGAGATGTCAGCCGAAGATGGCGACGCCAAGATTTGGAAACTGCTTGCTGATCGGTTCCCAGAGAAGGAACCCTAGGATCAGATGGGAGAAGTCTTGGGCGAGGTTTTTGCCCTGGCGGCCAAGGATGGTGAGTCCATGAAGGACTGGACTTCCAGGGTCACTGAGACCTTTGAGCGCTGCCGCCGGAAAGCGAAAGTGGACTTCCCCACTGAGGCCCGTGGCTGGATCTCTCTTCACTGCGCCGGAACAAAAAGCCATAGTGAAGGCGACGCAGGGCAGAATGGATTTGGAGACAATGAATGCTGGAATCCGTTCTTGCTTTCCGAGCTATAAGGCCACCAACTCCAGGTCGAGACGGCCGACGGCTGTCATGATGGCAGAAGAGGAGCAAGTGCCAGAAGAGACCTTGCCAGAGCAGAGCGCTTTTGAGGACGTCGAGGCGTTCTTGGCCAACTACGCCTTGGCTCCTGGTCCTGACGAAGGGCCAGTTTCGGAGACAGAGGCTGCTGGGGCTTTGGCTGTGTCTTGGAAGGAGCGACGGCAAGAGATCAGCAAGCTGAATAAGAGCCGCCAGTTCCAGCAGGCGGACATGGCGAAGAGAAGTTTTCGCGTCGAAGTGGAGGAGCTGAAGAAGAGGACAAAGTGCCACAAGTGCGGCCGAGTGGGGCATTGGGCCCGCGAGTGCCGGGCTCGCGCCAATGCCTCGGGCAGGCCCATGGCGCAGGGCAATGCGGCCAACTACACCTCGTCTTCATCTACGGTGCCAGCCAAGGGAGGAGCTGAGACGCTCTATGTGGAGGCCGACTTCTCCGAAACAGTGACGGACGAGGTCCACTTCGTGGGTGCTGCAGAGGAGGCCTTGTCAGCCAGCCTTGTGTCGAGTCCCGGGTTCGGGGTGATTGACTCGGGATGTGGAAAGACGCTCATCGGCGAGGACACGCTGGAAGCGATGATCCCCTTGCTTCAAGGCCGTGACATCGTGAAAAAGTCGCAGCGCAACAGCTTTCGCTTCGGAAATGGCGCGCACCGGGGTGATAGATGCAGCGGTGATTCGGGGTAAGGCCCCCCTCCTTCTTGGAAGGCCGACCCTTGTTCGCCTAAAGATGGTCATTGACTTTGTCCAGCAGCAGGCCAACATGCTCGGGATGGACAAGCCCGTGAACCTGCAGACAAACGCCGCTGGCCAGCTCTTGATAGATCTGGTTCAGTTCCCCTCATCCACGAAGCCGAGCGCTGCAGTGTCCGCCGAGGCCCTGTCAGCCGACAGTGTGCCTGGGCACGTTGCAGCACGACCTTCCCCAGAACAACCTTAAATACCGACCCCTGTACGCTCGGCAGCCCCCAGGCGGCATTCCAGGCCTGAATCCTTCTGACGTCATTGAGGTGACAGGGAACGTCTATGGGTTAAACGATGCCCCCTTTTGGTGGTGGGAAACCTTTGATTCCGAAGCCCAAGCCGCGGGTTTTGAGAGGTCTCAATTTGACAACTGCGTATATTACTTCCGCGAACCCAAGAGCCATGAACTCAGTGGAGTGCTAGGAGCACATGTAGATGACTCCATTACCGGTGGAGAAGGCTTGGCGTACGAGGAAGCTTTGCGCAAGCTTCGTGCTCGCTTCCCCTTCCGAAGGTGGAGAATAGGGGCTGGAGAATTTTGCGGCGTCAACTATGCTCAAGATCCTGTGACGTCCTACAGTCAGAAAGAGTATGCGCAACATCTCCGACCCATTTCCCTCTCCAAGGCTCGCGCCGCACAGAGGCAAGAGCCGGCTTCCGCGAGGGAACTTTCAGCTTTGCGAGGCCTCAACGGTGCCTCAAACTGGCCCGATCTGGCGGTGCAAGTCTCCATGTCTCAGCAGTCCTTTCCCAGCCCCAGGGTTGCCGACTTGCTGTATGCAAACCAATTGGTTCAAAGAGCTCGCCAGTTTCAAAGTGTCGAGATCAAGGTTAAGAGCATTCCCTTTGAACAGCTGTGCATCTGCACACACAGTGACGCAGCCTGGAGCAATGCCAAGGAGGATCGCACACAGGCTGGATCTATCCTTGCCTTCACCGGGCCCGAACTCGTAGAGAATAAACCTGCGCAGTGGAGCCCCTTTCACTGGAAGTCCTTTCGCCTGCGCCGTGTGGTGCCCTCGACACTTGGAGGCGAAGCCCAGGCGTTCTCCACGGCGTCAGCCGTCGCTGAGTGGATGAGTTTGCTTCTGGCCGAAGCCCGCGCAGGAAGCTTCGACCTTCGGACCTGCCAACCTCAACTCCGTGCCACGAAGCTGGTTGGGGTGACTGATTGTAAAAGCCTCTATGATCACCTGCACACCCTATCCTCATTGTCCGGTGTTCAGGATAAGAGGGTTTGTGTTGACATCGCCATTATCAAGCAAAGCATGGAGAGAGCAGGACTCCAGGTCCGATGGTGTCCGACCGAACTCATGATCTGCGATGCCCTGACCAAAGACAAGGCTGACCCTGCAGACCTGCTGCGAGCCATTCTCGAACTAGGAACCTATCAATTGTCACCTGAAGGCCAAATCCTGAAGACCAAGAAGGCGAATCGAGAGCGCCTCAAGGCCTCTAAGGGCGCGCCTTGGAGGTATGAGTGACATTTGATAAGGATCGCTGTTTCACTTTGTCGTGTGTGTGTTTTCTTGGGGTCTTAGTGTTAGGGTTGTGTGCATAGGTGCAAGGGAGCCACCTCTGCGCGGCATATCTCTCAGGAGAGTGCAAGCTAGCTGGCCAGTTTCTTTGTGTGACCCTGTGCTGAGCTTCGAAGCATGTCTGCCTCGACCTCCACGTTCTCCAAGGTAACCTTGCCAGAGACTGGCAACTTGAGGTTGTGGATTCATCGGCTGGCCCAGGACGGACACATCACCATCCAGAATCCGCTTCTCCTTGACGAGGCTGGGCCTGGCTCAGTCCCAGGGGCCATGACAGATGCCAGCAAGAGAGTTTGTCCGTCCGATGAGCTCAGTCCCTTTGAGCTGGTGGAGTCCAAAGGTTACCTTTCCACAGTCAACGTAAGCAGTGTGAAGAAGAAGACGTTCGCTACCCCAGCTGGTACCTCACCGACCACAACAGCCAAAACGGCCTTGCCCGAAGGCATCGACAGTGTGACCGCCTGGGGCAAGACCATGTGCACCTTGCCAAAGGTGAAGGATCGAAAGGCAAGCTACGCTGAGCTCGCCAATGAAGGCGACAAAAGCACCATCGAGTACCTGACGTGGGTGTTGGACAACCGCTCCAAGAGTGCCAAGGTAGAAGATTTTGCGGCGTACCTCTGTGCCATTGCATGGCGTGAGCCAGCGGGATTTAAGATCCCCGGCACCGGCGAAGTCCGTACCCTGAAGGGCTGAGATGCCTTCTGCGTACAAAGATGGCTGCTCATTTTGATGACACCTGTAATCTATCTGTCTCTCCCCCCTTTTCCCCTCTCTAAAATTTTGGAGCGAGAAAGAGGAGTGTCAACGCAAGCCAGCCAGGTCAGTACGTCCGCAGGAACTCGTATGCTCGAGGACCAAAAGGCTGCAGCGATGATGATGCCCCAGGCGGGGCAAGGATGCTACCGACACTGGTTAAGAGTCGGAAGCAGGGAAACTTCAAGACTTAGGTGCCCCCTTCTTTCCCAGACACCGTCCTCCAAAGCCTGTGTTATCTGCAGGGAAGCCTTGAACCCCAAATCTGACACCTAAACCCTAAACCCTAAACCCTAAACCCTAAACCCTAAAAAACCCTAAACCCTAAACCCTAAACCCTAGACCCTAAGCCCTAAGCCCTAAACCCTAAAACCCCAGACCCCAAACCCCAAACCCCAAACCCTAAACCCTAAACCCCTCTAGCCCCTACAGCCCCCCTCCGACTTGGCGTACTTGCGCTCGGATCAAGATACTTGTTTTCGTGGTCAATAAGCAAGGATTCGGGTTTGAGGTTAAGGTGAACCCCTTCCTGGGTAGCGTGCTGGCGAGCGTTGTTGAAGACGCGGCCAGATACACGCGTCAACGCCTGGGGAGTGTCTGGGTTTTGGGATTTCCTTGGCATTTCCCGCGCCATGCCACAAGGCAAATGCGAATATTCTACATGCTGCGCTCCTGGGCATCCTAAGTCCTGAACCTTCATTCATGAACCGAAGCTGGAAAGCAAAAAAGATCCCAAAACCCTGAGCTGAAAACCCTGAGCTGAAAATCCTGAGCTGAAAACCCTAAACCCTAAACCCTAAACCCTAAACCCTAAACCCTAAACCCTAAACCCTAAACCCTAAACCCTAAACCCTAAACCCTAAACCCTAAACCCGAAACCCTAAAACCGAAACCCTCAACCCTAAACCCTGACGCTTGAGGGAGGGCAGCCTATGGCAGCAACCCCTTAAGAGCTTAGGAACTTACAGGAAGTTATAGGAAGTTATAGAAACTTGTCGGAACTTGTGTGGGGGACTTATGGTAACTTATGTGGACTTATACAGGGACGTTTCGGGACTTAGAGGGACTTATAAGAACTTTCTGGAACTTATAGGAAGGTCTTCTTCTCCTGTTGGGGCTTAGAGGCGCAGGCCAAGGGTTCTTGTAGCTTTGAGCCAGGACCTGGAGGCCTGGGGGAGCTGGCAAATCTGAGGCGTGACTCTTTCTTTCGAGATCATGCAGTTGAGCTTCCGAAACCTTGAGCCCCAAACCCCAAACCCCAAACCCTAAACCCGAAACTTTAGGCCCTAAACCCTAAACTCCAAACCCCTAAGCCCTAGTCCCGAAAGTGCTGGAACGGGGGCAGAGCTTGGCACTGCGAGGTTCGAAGAACTTGACCTCTGCTCTTCAGCCTAGACAGTTTTTAGGCTTCGGGTGGGCGGTTTTCCCCTTATTAAAGGGCTTCTGGAGGCTTGTTTTGACCTTTTCTGCTTGTCAGGCTGTCTAGGGTGTAGGGTTTGGGGTTTAGGGTTAGACAACATAACTGCCCACCTCAGCCTGAATGTGGGGGGTTTCCGAAATTCGGGGGTACCTTACAAGGAATCCTACTCGTTGGGTCTATATTAAGGGCCCCTTATGTTTGTAAACCCCCCATATCTGTCTGTAGTCATCTTATTGCAGACCACTCGAATACTCTGCTTATTGCAGACCACTCGAATACTCTGGTTCGAGGGGAGCGGCATTATGGCCCTCATGAAAAGCTTTTTATTTCGAGGGGCAGAGTGCGAAAAAGGCATCATGGCTTGTTTGGCCGGTTTAGGGTTCAGGGTTTAGGGTTTAGGGTAAAGGGCTTTCTCTGCTTGAGGGCGAGAGGCTGGGGGGTGTCAGGCTTCTTGTAGACGCCTACAGCCCCTGCAACTAACTAGAAATGAAGCTCTTTTAGGGCCTAAGGGGTTGGTTTAGAGTTCAGAGTTCGGGGATTGCGGCATGTGCAGTCTGGGGTCTAGATTCTCCACAGGGTTTTGAAAGAGTACCGACATATTCCCGTCACAAATCTCGTGCAGTCTCAATCCACACTACCCGAACTTGTCCTTGATCCGAACAACCAACTCTACTCTGGGGTTGCTCTGGCAAGTCCCTGCCAAGCGTTGCGAAGAGGAGTTTCTCCCTGTGCCTGTGTGCTACCCGTAGTAGACCCTGAAATATCTCCCCAAGCCCTAGCTGAACCGCCTAAAACGCATCCCGAAGCCCTAAACCCTAAACCCCAAACCCTCAACGCAAAACCCAGAGCCCAAAACCCTAAACCCTAAACCTAAACCCTAAACCCTAAACCCTAAACCCTAAACCCTAAACCCTAAACCCTAAACCCTAAACCCTAAACCCTAAACCCGAAACCCTAAACCCTAAACTCTAAACCCTAAACCCTAAACCCAAACATGCATCCCTGAGACTTCAACACCCTAGAACCCTGGATTGCATCCCTAAACCCTAAGCTGCGTCCGTAAGCCCTCGACCACCTGGACTTACCATGCATCCCAAAGCCCTAAACCCACAAGTGCGCCCCCTGAGCCTTGGACCCCTAAGCCCCCGAAGGGGCAAGGGTTTAGGGTTTAGGGTTTAGGGGTTAGAGTTTAGGGTTTAGGGTTTATCGTTTAGGGTTTAGGGTTTAGACCCAAGGCCAATGGCTTCTTGCCATTCCCCTGTAGGGTCGAGGATTTTGGGGTTTAGGGTTGAGGGTCTAGTGGTGTTCAAGCGCAGGGAAGCAATTTCAAGCCGAGCTTTGCAACTTTATCAAGTAGGGCTTGTTCACTCTGCACTGCAGTTGGCCCTCGGTTTAGGGTTTAGGGTTTAGGGTCCCATCGTCTAGGGAGTAGAAGAGCTGTTCTGCAGGGTTCTCAAACTTCTTAATCTTGACCAAAACTATGAGAGAGCAGCGGGTTTTGGCAGTGGCGCAGATTCCAATACCAATGGGGCCTAAATGCTGAACCCTAAACCCTAAACCCTAAACCCTAAACCCTAAACCCTAAACCCTAAACCCTAAACCCTAAACCCTAAACCCTAAACCCTAAACCCTAAACCCTAAACCCTAAACCCTAAACCCTAAACCCTAAACCCTTAAACCTAAACCCTAAACCCTAAACCCTAAACCCTAAACCCTAAACCCTAAACCCTAAACCCTAAACCCTAAACCCTAAACCCTAAACCCTAAACCCTAAACCCTAAACCCTAAACCCTAAACCCTAAACCCTAAACCCTAAACCTAACCCACAAAACCCTAGACCCTAAACCGAGGGCCAGCATCGCCGTGAACTACACCACGGATCACATCGTGAGCGTGCTGCCGCGCGACTTCGTTGCGGGAAGCTCAGCGTGGCGGCAGCTGAAAACAGATAGCCCTATTCCCTTTACAAATGGGAATAGGGTTTAGGGTTTAGGGTTTAGGGTTTAGGGTTTAGGGACCCTAAACCCTATTCCCATTACAAATGGGGGCTTACGAAAAAAGGGACCCACAACATAGACCCCCCAATAGTAGGATCCCCTTCTAATAAGGACCCCAGCAAGGTACCCCGAAAATCGTCAACCCCCCCGCAAATATTGCGCCAAGCCCTACCTGTTCACTGTTGCAACATAGCGGGCCACAAGCCTGTCCCAACTGCCGCCGAACACGAAAGAGGGCCCATGGGGTGGGGCTTGTATTTCAGGTGGTGGTGGTGGTGGTGGTGGTGGTGGGGGTCTCCAAACCCAAATCCCTTAACCAGAAATAAACTGCCCCTTTCCTGGAAACCTTAAAGCCCTAAAACCCTAAAACCCTCAAACCCTAAAACCCTAGAACCCTAGAACCCTAGAACCCTAGAACCCTGGAACCCTGGAACCCTGGAACCCTGGAACCCCAGAACCCTAGAACCCTAGAACCCTGGAACCCTAGAACCCTAGAACCCTAAAACCCTAAACCCCTAAACCCGAAACCCTAGAACCCTAAACCCTAGAACCCTACAACCCTAAACCCCAAATCCGAAAACCCTAAAACCCTAAAACCCTAAAACCCTAAAACCCTAAAACCCTAAAACCCTAAAACCCTAAAACCCTAAAACCCTAAACCCCTAGAACCCTAAACCCCAAACCCGAAAACCCCAGACCCTAAACCTCCGAAACAGGGCACCTGTCGGGCTAAGAACCAGCGAGGTGAATCTGAGCCCATGAACCTCCAAGGTTTATGGGAGTTTGGGGTTTAGGGTTTGGGGTATAGGGTTTAGGGTTTAGAGTTTGGGGTTTCGGGTTTGGGGTATAGGGTTTTTGGGAGTTTGCTGTGGGCGGGGGGGGGGGGGGGGGGGGGGGGGGGGGGGGGTGCAAGGCTTAAATAGGATTTATTTGGAAGCTGAGAGTCGTGTTTTGGTGTGGTGGATAGAAAGGAAATTGCATGAGAAAGTAGCGAGATGAGCTCTTCAATTTCCTTCCTGATCTCCTATGCTCTTTTCCTGATTCATTGCAACAGGAGAAGATAGGAAAAGAAGGGCTTCCGTTCCCCTCTTGTTCTTCCTTTCTTGTGTTTTTTTGTCACTTAAAGGGGAACAGGAGAAGAGAAGGAGGGAGAGATAAGAGGAACACAATTTTGATGGGAAGAGCCAAGAAAAGAATAGAAGAGAGATGAATATAAAGGAGAGGGAGAGACAAAACAAGGCGCAAAGAAGATGGCACTCTTCTTTATCTATCCTCTCTCCTTTATCTCTCCCTTCCCTCTGTCTTTTCGAAATAAGAAAAACAAAAAAGGAAGAATTATGAAAAGGATAAGGGTAAGGTCCACGCGCAAGGAGTCACCCTCTGCTTACCCTTCCACTGCTTTATCATACAAGTTCCTTTCTTGTGTTCTATCCGTTAAAGTTTGAAAGGAAGCAGGAGGAGAGAAGGGAAAGGGAAATGAGAGAGGAGAGACAACAAGGAGGCCATTCTAATTTTCTGGAAGG